CGCTCAATCAGTGCTCTAGCCTCTGTCCTTGAACAATAATTACAGCTCCCATAAAGCAGGTGAGACAAGCATTTAAAGATATCACGTAAACGACAGGTAGAGTTATCATCTCCGTACCGCAGAAGATCTACCGCTAGATCTTGCGGGTTGTATTCCGCTACGGTCAGTCCCATGCTACTCTAGTGTGGTCTAGCAACCGTGCGTGAAAACCACTTACGGGAAAAATAAGGGGGCGCACATGATGCGGACGAGCCTGGCCTGGGATATCGTGCGCCGCAGGTGGACCAATTACCTGTCTCGTATTGTCACATCACTCTCTCTTTTGTGTACTCATTTCAAAGGACTGCTAATTACTCTTTCACCCATGACTTTCCCACTCCTCAGCAGACACGTGTAGGACAACTCATACCCTTAGTATCCTGGACTCTTTAGATATATACCCCCGTATATCACATATATCTATTTTATTTTCTTTTAATTTATCATGTAATTTCATTTTATTTTTGAGATAGGTGTGTTGCTATTATGTTATAAGGTCAAGTTTAGTGTCCACGATCTTATGTTCACATTTCTTTTTCCTTTTTCATTTCATTACTACTAACTCTCCTTATCAAGTAAAAACAAAATGAAAATTAAACCTCACAACCAAGCGTATTCAATTCGACAATAAGAAGCTTGTAAAGTATTACAAAATATATGTTTTATGTGATATTTAAGATATAACAAACCTTATACTAATATATTATAAGATAAATAATAATATGTTAAAATAATTAATTGAATATGCAACATAATATTTAATTAAATATGTAAAAATAATGTAATAAAATAAAATAATAATAATAAAATAAATAACTTGGATAGAAACTAGTATTTGATACTATGTTCTTAAAATAATTTATGCTCCGCATAGTGTTGACGGACTTTATGTCACTTGTCTCTCAGGATACAATAGTTTACATCCACCAGTAACACCATTTTAAACTCGTGGATACGGCGAACTTCCTTCGTGTAATATTCTCTCTAACTAAAAAATGCATCTATACTATAGAAAATATGAATTGGATTTGATCTGAACCATATGGTTCAGACCAATATCAATATGGCTCATCAATATTGGTTTTGAGTCCTAGTGGTTTGGGCCACTTGACTATGGCTCAAACCCACTTAGATTGGGTTCAAGTCTAAAGAAAGTGAAACGATTCTGAACTTTACGTGTGAAATTTCAGAATGGGATGGATCTTTCAATTGGCAGCCTGGGTATTTATAGAATAAATGATGCCTCTTCATCGCTAGACGTACCCATTCCGATGGTTTGCCACGGTTGGTTTGAATAGAGATGATTCATCTTCACACATGTTCGGATGTAGGTATATCAACTAACCACATCACATTTATTCTAACGCAACATTTCATAGTTTTAAGCACCGCCACCAACAGTCACGACTACAGTTTTAGTGAAAAACCTTCACAGTTTTCAACACCAGTCCTAATGCATTAAAAGACTAGTGATGTTTTCATTAAACAATGCATTAAGAGCATGAGTGAAAGTTTTCATTAAAGGATATGTTACAAGACTCTCTATGCAACTTTTTATGTAATGGCGCCATACAACCATTCACACCACCCTAATACCCTATAAATGGCTCTACAGGTACACGGTTGACATTCACGGTGTTAGTCCAATGTTATATACATAGACAACGTCATATTCACGTTGCAATTCTAAGGTAGTTGTATTCCCCAAGTTACAGGCAAGTTTCATTCACTAACATAAAGTCGGGTTGCAACTTGACTATCATGTTAAATAATGTAATTTGAGTTTCATCATATTCATATTTTTAAAACTTAATTAAACTTGAATTTTAGTAGTGTGATTATTTTATCTCCATTTTTTTTTTTTCATAATTGATAACATGAAAATACTTTGGAAAAAAAAAATGGTACATAAGATTCAAATATGAAAATGAACTTTTTCTTTTGAAAGCCAAACAAACGCGAATATTTCAACAAATACACTGTCGTCAATATTGGGTGGGTAGTAATCTTCTTTTAGCAACTTGGATGCAATTGAATTTCTATAATTAACCGTTATTGCAAAAACACTATGGCATTTTCCACGTTAAGACAAGGGTTCTTATAACTCAAAATGGTAAAGGACAATCAGAAGTTTGCAAAGCTACCTCAAAATGTTTTTAGTAAATTAAAAAACCTTAGAAACCTCTCTCAGGTTTCTTAAAACTCTCAGGGTGCACCCTCGAATCAAAATCCTGAAAAGTTATTCCATGTTCCCTATTTAAACCTCGCGAGACACTCCCCTCAAAACCCTATAGGTCACTATTCATGTATTCCTCAAACTCTTGAGACATGCTCTCATGTCACCAAAACCTCGCAAGACGCTTTCCTTTAGTTAAAATTTTGGAACCCTATTCTTGGGTCCCTGAAAACCTCAAGATCGGCCGACCACTCAAACAGTGTAGGACGCTACTCCAGTCAAAACTTAAAAAAAAAATATATATGTTCTTAGATTCCTTCAAACATTAAGATATTATCCCAATTTACTCAAATCATGTAGGGCACCCATGTTGAGTAAAAACCCCGCAACCATGTTCATAGGTTCCCAAAAACCCGAGAAATTTTCCGAGGTCACTTAAACATTTTAAGGCACCCTACTTAAATTAAAATACCGAGTAAATGTTCCCGGGTCACAAAAAATCTTGAGACATCCTCTAAGGCTATTCAAACTCTGTATGACACTTATCTCAAGTCCAAATCCCAAGGCAATTTTTCCTTGTCATTGTAATCCCAATACACTATATTAAGTCACTCAAATTATTTAAAGCACTCCACTCAAGTCAAAAACACAGAACATTGTTATTAGATTCTTTAAAACCCCAAAACATCCTCCCAATTCTGTCAAATGAGACAATCACCTCGAGTCAAAACCCTATAAACTTATTCCCATGATCCCTAAAACTTTGATAAACATCTTTTTAGATTACTAAAACCTCGTAGGTTGCTCATTTAGCCGCATTTAAAAACCTATGACATTATTTTTCATATCCTTTAAGACCTTAACACATCTTCTTAGTTCGCTTGAATCTCATAGGGTACAAAATCACCTGGACCCAATTTTGAAACATTGTTCCTAATTCCCTTAAAACTATGAGACATCTTCTAAGCTTATTTGAACCTCGTAGGGCACTCCCCTCGAGTCAAACCATGGGATGATGTTCCTATTTCTCTCAAAACCCTAAGATATTCTCTTAGTCTTTTAATAAATTGGCTAGGATGTCATTTGCTGTTTTATATTTTATTTGGAGAGAACGAAACGAGAGGTTGCATAATGAAAAATGTAGGGATCATGGGGAACTTACTAAGTGCATTTTGTGGGAGGTTTTAGATGTCACGGGGATACAGCTTCAATATATCTTATAAGGTTTTTGATGTGTAAGTGGGGGTATGCCTTCTTGAATCCCTCGAGTTTGTTGCTATGGTTTCAATTCATTCATTTATAACCATGCCAGAGCCATGAATGGGCTAACCTGGGCTATAGCCCAGGTCCAATTAAAAAAATATATTTAGTACTACTAAGCCCATGCATTATTCTTCATTTTCCTATCAGTCATTCAGCCCAGCTCAATTTATAATAAAACATTCGGCCCAACCTAATCCAAGCACATTGTTGCGAACCCAAACACCAACCTTGAACTCTCTTTTCTCAATCTGCAGAATCGTGTGAACAATTTGAATGTTCAAACTTATAAACAATTAAAGCTTCCTCAAATTGTACGACAAAGCTCAACTTGGTATCAAGTAACATAGACACTTAAACTTTTCTTTTTTGAACACAATTTTTAAGTGAAAAAAGTAGCTTTGTATGTTTTTTTTATCCAAACCGTATTTTTTTTTTATTTTTATTTTTATTTTCCAGTAAATTCTCTGCTTGAAATTTATCTCCGCCCTTGTTATTATAACCCTTGTTCTGAAGTGTGATATCTCCATCCTTATATTTTTTTTGTTATATATATACTAGTATTTAAAAATTTACAATAATCAATCAAAAAAATTATCATGATAATTCTATTATTATTTTATTATTAAATATACATTTCATACAATATGTATATATAATTATTAATAAATATACATTTCACATAATATATATATATATATATATATATGAAATATTTTTTTCCTAAAAAGCGCGTATCAAATTATATTCACACAATATATATATATATATATAATTTTTTTTTTCGGGAATGCATATAAAATATATTTTGACAAACAATAAAGCTAGTAGTACTTGTTTTATACGAAATCTTGTTGAACTTGTACACAACAATGTGAATAAATAACTAGTTTTATTGAACGCATAAACCACTAAAAATGAAATTAACTTTTCTATTGAAAAATTGATCCACGGGAACGCATAACACTCCAACACAATTTTTAAAAATAATAGTAGTTGAAGATGCCTTAACATAGGCTAGCACATACTAGATAACAACTCCATCAACCCTGTCTTTTGGACAACGAATTACAGTTGGAAAGGCTTCCCACCAAATGCCTTTACTCATTCTATAATGTTGGATGGAGTTTTTCCATACTATTTTTGTGTACAGTACGTGAAACACTGTAGGCAGTCAAAGTAACTTTAAAATAGCTATATATATATATATATATATATATATATATATACACACCCATATATACATACATACATATATACATACATACATGTATATATGGGTGTGTATATATATATATATATATATATATATATATATATATAGCTATTTTAAAGTTACTTTGACTGCCTACAGTGTTTCACGTACTGTACACAAAAATAGTATGGAAAAACTCCATCCTATATATATATATATATATATATAGATGAAGAGATATAGTAGTAATATCGAGTGGAGGTGACAAGTGCATGTGATTTTCAAATATCGATCAGTGGTAGGGAATCTTTAATTAAACAAAGACGCTTCCCGAGACTATTCAACGATATATGTGTAGAGTAGAAAACAGCTATCTTTGCCGACCCCCCCACCCACCATTTCTCATCATCCCAAGGCCTTATAAATTGCTTCATATACCCCTCAACAATTTCATCCTTTTTTAACCTAAAGGTCGCCCTCTCTTTGGTGGGGTTGAGAGGTGGTTGTAGATGGTAGATTCGAAAACTGTAGTTCAAGCTAAACCAGTATGTGTGGTTAGGTTTGGGTATAAAGCTTCACGATGGTTGTTCCATATGGAAACACTAAAACGTCCCTAGGGTTTTGCGGTTGATGGTCCTGGATCTAAGAACTATAAAAAGTGGATCTAGGGTTTTTATGAAAGGAGGGTCGTAGATTAGTATAGATTTTCCATGTATTGTTTTTGTATGTGTATTTTTGGATCTGTCTCTCCAAACGTTCATGTTTTATGCTTAGGGAAGTGGTTTTAGTGAGTGGTGTTAGGGTTTGTGTGTGAGAGGGTGTGTTTTTAGGTTGTGTGTGTGTGTGTGTGAAATTAGGGTTTTGAAGTGGAGCTCCTTGAAATCCAATAGAGGATAATACTGGGAAGATCGAGCTGCTGACCTATGGATCCCTCAGACCTATCCATGTTAAGCGTGGTAATGGATAGGGTTGTGGCTTGCATATGTCAGGAGCTGTATTACCCAAGTTAGATCCTTATTTGGATTGAAGGGAGCTCTACGCATAATCTCTTTGTTCACCTTCTTTTTCTCTTTTCATTTCATGGTAAGTTGTATATATATGTGTATATATATATATATATCTATATATCTATTTTGATTCTCTAGTTTATTGGTTGATTTCTGACTTGGTTTTATGTATGCATATGATGGATGTTTTTAGTGACCAAAAATCTTGTTTCATATGACAAGTCTTTCCATTTTGAATCCATGTGCAGATGGGCTAAATCTTCCGTACAATTTATATTTCTGCTTTTATTGGAGGAAGTTGGATGCTTTTTCATTACAGGCATCTCCTAATAGGGTGTATGCAAGGGGTTGCAGAATCGTCATTTCTTGACTCTTTTTCAAGAACACGGATTTCTTTAAAGCATATGGATTTTAGTAACTCATCTTGTAAACCACAACACAGGTTTTTTGATTGATTCGTCAGAGTTGGAGATTTGTCGTTTAAGGGTCTTCAAGATGGAATATGTTGATAATTTATGAAAATTAGTAAAGCATTTTGTTCAAGAAAAGTTCTCAATCTGTATGTATAATTTTCAAATGTATATAGTAACATCATTAAATGGGATGATTGTAGACAATTTTGCTAGATCCTTGTGATAAAGTCAACATTATCTGAACTAGATTAATTCTTGTTTTTTTAGTTCAATGACTTTCCAATTATGCTTACTGTGTATGATTGAATTAATTCTCTCTATAAATGACGTCTAATTAATTGAAAAAAAATCCGATCTTAAAGGCATGGTTTTATTCGTGGCCGGATACAGCTCTCGATTTAATACTTTTTGTGATTGGTTAAACCAATTAAAAAGCATCTGATTTGTATTTTTCTTTTGCTTTTGGTCATGTCATAATAACAAATAGCTATATATATCCTATACATAAATTAAACTTGATAAATTTTGCTCAAAAGTATTCAAATTGTATCCAAAGGTTATCAATTCTGGTCAGAAGAAATTTTTTATTTTTAACCAGGGTCAATGGTAAATCAAATAGGAAATTTTGTGTTTCTCTAAATTTTCAGAACACCCTTCAAATCTATTTTATTACATAAAACCGAAGTATTTTTTTTATTGTTACAACACTACCCTTGGGGGAAAATGATCCTTGATGTGTGAATATGTCTATTTTTTAAAAAAGGCTTTGCTAATTAGAGTAATTGTAAAGCCACAGTAGTTGTCCTATTAGTATAGAAATCAAATCTAAATGCATTAATTACTTAAATTTCAATTTTAGTAAAACTTTACAAATATTATTTTTTTTAGACAAATATAACTTTTTAAATTATGTAACCTTTCTTCTTCTCTCCCCTTTTAATCTATCTATATAGAAATGTATATGAAAATGTACGCGTGTATGTGTATGTATATATATATATATATAAAATAACTACTGATATGTGAATGAATTCTGAAAAAGGAAAAAAACTATAGTTAGGATAATTCATTCTCAATGGATTCTAAAAAAAAAAAAAAAAAGAGATAGAACAAAATTAGAAAAGAAAAAATAATAATAAAAAATAAAAGAGAACCAGAAAAGAATTCATATACAAAATAGATTCTAAGATTTTAAAAAAATACAAAATTAGTTACATACACACGTATATTTCTTTTTATAACTATCTTGGTGAATAAATTATTTGTTTTTTTAAAAAAAATCTATTTATTTGTTTGTTTCTTTTTGTTTTTATTTTTATTTTTACAATTATCCTTGTTTAAATGAAATAAAAAAAAAAAAACAAATAATTCATTCACAAGATAGTTGTAATATATATAAAACACACGCACACATTTTCATATGGATAGATTAAAAAGGAAGAGGAAAAGAAAGGTTAAATAATTTAAAAGGGTATATTTGTCTAAAATAATAATATTTGTAGAGTTTTACTAAAATTGAAACTTAAGTAATTAATACATTTAATGGGATTTAATTCCTATACTAATAGGACAAGCGACTGTGGCTTTACAGTCGCGCAAGGCGACTGTGATTAGCAAAGTCCTTTTAAAAAATATGCCTTAAGAAAATGCACCCCTTAATATATATATATATATATATATATATATATATATATAAAAGATGTTGTCCCTAATATAAGATTAAAATTAATATAAATATTTCATTTGACGTAGTTTATTTCAGTTAATATTGAAAAAATAATAATAAAGGTGAGTCTATTAAAAAAAAAAAAAACCTATAAATTAATTTTTAAAATTTTATTTTATAAAAAGTTAAAAGAAAAAAGAACCTTAAAAATGAAAATTATTTTAAAGAAAACTTAATATTTAAAATTTATATTAAAGAGCATTTGTGTCCTTATTAAATGGCTTGTAACTTTAAAAAAATTTATTGAAATTATTTTAAAATTTTAGAATGAAAATTATTATTTTTTTTAAAAACTTAAAAGGGTATTTTCGTCATTAGATTGCAGTGCTGCAACAATAAAAAATCTTAGGGGGGAATTTTATGTTAAATTTTTTTTAGGAGGAGTTTACATTGGAAAATGAGAAATAGACAAGTCCAATGTCGAATAACAAATGTTGGTCAAAAATTTTGTTTGTAGTCAAGGTTGTGGATAGTGTTGATCAGTTCGCAGAAATCAGAATGATGATAATATAGGCTGATAGTATATGCAGCAGAAAGCTCTTGTAAATTTTTAAGCAAGATGAAAAGTTTGATGTTACTTCTAAACACTCATAAAATGGAACTCTTTGGTCTCTCGCTCTCTCTAAGCGTAATTAAATCTGTTAGTACTCATTCTCTAAAATGATTAAGAGATAGAACATACTCTATTAAACACATCGAGATTTGAGGAACCAGGATAATCTTTTTGAATTCTACTGAGTTCGTTTGCTTAACGAAGACGTGAAAATGACTCTTTTTTAAAGGACTTAATATTTAAATTTTCTTTTCATCAAGATGGAGTTCAAATTGATTAGCAAGCTCAAATGTTGAAGAGTTGAGAGCCAAGCATTCCAGTCTTATCCCAGAGCTAGAAACAACTTTCAGATACCATAATTTCTACTCATATGTAGCTTAATAGCATGTAATCGTCTTTTAAGGGCCTTTTTGTGTTCATTCATGTCACATTCTACCAAAAATGAATCCTGAAAATTTTACCTTTTCATTTAAAAATTGGATTTTCTAACAGGATTAGCATGTAGTCAAATCTTTAACCAGAAAAAATGCATAAAGCCCCGTTGGGCCCACCCTAAAATTCTTTCCAATCCCATATCATGTAGGACAAGGAAGCAAGCAATTGTTACTTAACCTAACTTGCCAAAAAGGTCAACTACCCCCACCCCCACAACCCGCAACCCCCCCCCCCGCCCCCCAACCTTTTACCCAGTTTAGTCTATTAGAGAAGTGTAGTTTAGTTTTAGAACTTGACACCTATTTGCAGAACTCCATTTTCAATCTTCTTGAGAATAAGCTGGTATTCCTTCCTCACACATTCCTCTAAAATCTCAGCACAAGCCAAGAAGATTCAAGTTCACATGAACTCATTAATGATGCTGATAGGTTTATGCACACATTTTCATTTAACATTTCAAGAAGCCAACACCCATTGAAGAACCTCTGAACCTCATTTGACTCGTGTTATTACAATCAATTCTTCATGTCGACAATTTATTATTATTATTTTTTTCTTCTGTTTTTGCTTTCATCAACCCATACATTACAATTGATGATCTTATTTTCTCCAGCCAAGACACTATATAAATCCCATCACAGCAAGAGAAAAACATCAACTTTACAAAATTTAGGTTGCTTTAGTAAAAAGGAAACAACATATAAATCAATTATGGTTTTCATTCGTCTCTTATATATGAAAAAGCAATCATCTGTAAAAGTTATTAGCCTCCGGTTCACTTTTTCTTAAATGAGGGAAGAATTCAGACTAATGAGGATAAATACAACATACATGTTAAAAATTCACTTGCTCAAGGGGGGGTGAACAAAAAGCTCACTGAAGAATGAACTGCACCCACAAACTAGTAGAAGATTGAAACCAACTCATCCTCCATACAGAAGTCAGCAACACCCTGCAGTTCATTGAAAACAAGACCAGCAAAAATGGAGGAATCCATGACACATCAAGAACATTCCTCGCTTCTGTCACTCTTTCTACAACCCTGTAACACATCCAATAACCAACTATAACCACAATTATCTTATTAAGATAATAATGCTACAAAGTCATCTGACCCAATAAAGGGGCCTGAAGATTCACTTATCCACCACCACCATTGCCAAGAAGATTTCATTAAAAGTTCCCATGTTAAAATAAAATAAAAGTCAAAATCCAGGGTGACTGTTTGTCCCCATGGGCTTGATTGATCTGGGATGTAGGGCGTTGGACAAGGTCCACCAAGAAAAATCTCGGCTTTTTTACCTCATAAAGAAATTGCTCCAACTCAAACCCATGGTCTCGCACTCGAGAGACAACCTTGAGGTTCTTATAGCAATGGCCCTACTGCTATAAAATGGCCGGTAAATATTCTTATATTAAGCATCAATCCCTACATATTATTTTTAAGTTTTTTATACTTGTGATTGTATCATAAAAAAACATAATCCGGAATACTAGACATACACCTAATCTTCATCTATATTTACACGAAAGGGTGGTCGTCACGTTCATATATTCTTATGCTTGAGGGTCCAAAATTTTATCATAAATCAACTATAGTTAAGATACAGTATCAATAAAGTGATCCCGTGAGACATCCAATGTCATTATTTTAATAGCAACTAGTACTAAATAACATCCCACTTTAACATTGTTTTGTTAATTTTTTTTTGGTTGGCACCGGAACTCCCCTGGGTAGGGCCCCTTGGGGACCCACCCTAGGCTGCAAACCAGGGATGCTATCGACGACCCCACACCTCAGCAACAATTTCAGTCGAGGATATAAAGGAGGGGGAGAGACTCGAACCCGGGCCAGTGATAGCCCAAGCCAAGACCTCTCCCATCTCATCCAAGCCCCCGGGGGCATTTTGTTAAAATTTTAGCTATCAATGAAGAACCAAGCAATCAGAAAATACATTTAGGTTATTATGTTTCAGTCATGATAAAACAAACACTTTTTGAATTTCAATTAAAACAGTTCTCAAACATGCTTGTTCCTTGAAGAGCTCTATATGGAGGAAAAAAAGTCCTCTTTTTTTTCAATGGAAATATTCTTGTGAATGAAAACACCAAGAAACCGTAACAGAATCAAATCTTTATCAATCAGAAAAGTATTACCTTCCTTACTGCAGCAAGGAGCCATTCTCTATACTGACCTCCAAATTCCAGCCTCTAAATAGATATAAAATGGTTAACTCCCACACAGAAAAATGCACCAAAAAAGAGAAAAAAAGAAAAAGGGAAAGAAAATGCCAAAAACAAAAGGTTGATTACTTCTCCATAGCTTCTTTCTTCAGTTCCTCAATATGATTGTCAATTTGAAAGCATGCAGCTTCAATTTCAATATTTTTCTCACAAAGCTCCTTCCATTGTGCAGACAAAGCATTAAGCTCATATGCAGTGTTTTGCTGATTAATGACACAGGAAAAAATTATTAATATTCTAAATAGCAGGAGCAGTATTGAAACATAACAAGAGTTATTTAAAAGGCGAATCAACCTGACTGGGCCATTTGCCCAGGTGGTATGAGATCTCCTTCCCAAAGTACAGGTGAGCGGTTCAAGCTCCACGTGGGACAGTGTGTGTTGTGTTGCTTACCTACCAAACGAAAAAATAAATAAACAAATATAAACTGAATCACCTGGTGATATTTTCTTTCACGATTCACAATTTCTATCTTCTCATTTAGTTCCACACCTTGTGCTCGCATTCTGGAGAAAGATAGTGCAACGATTAAGAAACATGCAGAAATAAATAGAGATTACAAATTAACAAGAGCAACCACAACATCACACAAAGAGCTCAGTGGGATCTGCATGAAAGTTAAAACTTTTAATTGCTGAGTAAATAGTGAGGTAGATAGGTCGGAAGCATATTTACAAGGTCTATATAAGAATGAGATCAAATAGCCTTTAATCCAAGTCCATGTGTTTAATACAACACTTCTCAACAGCCGCTGCCACAAAGCATAATGAAATATTCAGTTCAACTTTTTACTCATCATGTTTCGCATTCACACGCCATTTCTACATGAGTTACACTTCTCTGTATAACGTTTGATACTATGGTTAGCATATATAAGACCAGGTACGGAGCCAGCTTGGTCCCAAACCGGAATGTAAGGCTTTAGAGGACAGTTCTGACCTGGGTTGACTTTTGAGCAACCCTATGGAGTAGATATTGAGTGAGCTGGGCATGCCATGTTATTGCATGCCCGTCCAATCAGAATACACAATTTAGTGAAATGGGTCCCACCCAAATAAAAAACTTCCCTCAACTAACTTGAATGGTGTATTCTGATTTGATGGGTATATTAATGACGTGGTATGCCCGGATCACCCAATAATCAATATCTTCTCCCTTGTAACGACAGAGAATTAAAATTTTCAACTGCCACAGAGAAACTCGCTAACCTAAACTTAAAACAACAATTCTGAAGTCTGAACTGGATTAACTTTAACCAACCCTGATAATGACAAATAAGTATACTGTTCACCCACCACTATAATCTGCCACCCTTAACCTGGATTTCTTTGGTTCTAGCCTGGGTTAGCAAAGTGCATTTTGTTCTCAATTTTGTATGCTCTAAGATAAGTCTTGATTTGTAGTTACTACTATTAACTACATGAAGAAACTTCTCTGATGTCTAATTTCCTGACTGTGACAGTGTCGATACAATAGTTATTGTTTTTTTTTCCCCCATGTATAATAGAAATATTAAAGGAAAAAACACATACAACGTGTAACATCAGCAAATGAAAGAGCAGATCACAAATCCATGTCGGCTGAATAGAATTATGAGAAATGATCCAACAGTCCAACTTGTGTACATCAAATGCCCTTAAAGACTTCAATTCTGTACCCTTCCATCTTTATTTATCATCAACTGGTCTTCATACATTCTTTTCCGCACTGCAACAATATTTTCTCCTAACTTCTACAGTCTACACTATTCAGTATTCAAGCATCCATTATTTAGATCACACCTTAATATAGTGGATCAAACGACTTGATATTTCTCCTAAAGCGCTGCCATTTCCCAAGCCATGCATCATCCTCACACTAACATGCCTTTAACCTACAGCTCCTGCTATTTGCTTATAAAATTCTAACCTCAATCCATTAATTGATATTCAATTTCCCTAAGATCTTACTAAAATACAAGTCCCTCAGTAGTTGTAATGAATGGTTCAGCCTTTCATTCCTCAGGAAACCCCATTCTTTATCCGATATTTTGTTGACTTAAATTTTCAATAGAGCTTAATGAAAGCAGGTGCATTCACAATACACACAACTCCTACAAAGAGTATCCATACATCTCTACAAAACAATCACAAATAAAGGGATCTAGACATTTTATACTTCAAAGAGTATAGGCATCACTGTGCTTTCAAAAGATCTCCATTTCTCCTCCCACATACACTGTCATAAACATGAAAGAGTTGCCTACTACATGGTTTTAATTATCAAGTCTTTGTCCCAATCTAAAGCCAAACCAGCTAGCTAGCACCTCACCACTTAATGCGGTGGCTATACCCTAATAAATATGTAACAGCATTAATAGAAGGGCCAAAAAAATCTTTAGCCGTCACAAGCGCAACAAGAAGTGGCCTACTAATTTGCCGTCCCATTTAACAGACAACAACAAATTGACTAAGCCCTAGTGGCTGAACCACGTATATTCTTGCGTTGTGTTCTTCATACTTTGTTTCTCTATTCAATTTTAACATGGTATCAGAGCAGGCAACGTTATTTGTTCATTTCTCTTTTTTCATCAGAGCCGTTCTTGGTTCTCTTCTCGGATCTCTAGATCCATTTTTATTGAGGTTGTCTTCTTACACCTCTTCATCAATCGAGGTTGCTACTACTCGTCTTGGGATCTTTGGATCCATTTTATTGAGGTCGTCTTGTTACACCTCTTCATCATTTGCACTTGCTTCTACTCGTCTTCTCAATGGCAAGTTGAACATTCATGCCATTCATACTCCAACTTGAGAGGGAGTGTTGAAGATTTATTGGACGAATCAATGGAGGAAAATCTTCCAGTATTGATACTCTTTCCTATTGTTGAAGATTTACTGTTATATTTGTTATTGAAGGAATCAATGAAGGAAAATCCTTCATTATTGATGTTTCCTTTTATTGAAGATACTGAAGGAATTTGTGGAAAAAAATATTTCAATATTGATGTTGTTTCCTATATCTATCTCTTTCCATTCTTATTATTTCTTCTGTTGCAAAGCATAAAACAGAAGTGAAGAGAGAATATATTATAAAGTGATGTAGCCCTTTGGGCTCTTTGTGCCGTGGATGTAGGCCCTAGTGGCTGAACCACGAAATATCCTTATGTTCTTTGTGTTTCATTTCTCTCTTCACTTCTGTTTTATGCTTTGCAACATGGTATTAGAGCCTAATTTCTCTTCCTAGGTTCGAACCCCTATTTTGGGGTATTCCCTTAGTATCTGAAATGTTGCTAAGGGTTTCTCGGTACTATTTGTGTCTTGTTTGGGCTGGCGGTTTATTCGACGGTAATGTTTTCGCCTTTGCCGTGTCTTCGACAGTTTTATTGACTTGTTTGGGCTACAGGTGTGTTCGGTAGCATTGTTCGTCACCTTTGCCATGTGTTCGGTGATATGTGGACTTGTTTGGGCGGCCGGCGTGTTCGATAGCATTGTTCGTCACCTTCGCCATGTGTTCGGTGCTATGTGGACTTGTTTGGCCTACCGGTGTGTTCGGTAGCATTGTTCTTTGCATTCAACGTGTCTCTAGCAGTTTTATTATCTTTTTCCAAATCGTTGGAAAATGATCTGTTTCATGATTTGATAGGCAAGCTAAGCATTATTTCCATACACCCTTCAGCTTGAGGGGGAGTGTTAGAAGATGTTATATTTGGAAAATATTATTATAAGAACCCTTAAATTACTCCTTGACAGAATATTTGATAGGAGAATATCATAGGAGAGATTTTAGCCTATGATATAATATTGATTAGAGTGATTAATGGTATTGATTTTTGGAATCTTCCATTAATGTATTTTCCATATTTATCACCTCTATTTTTTCACCTATAAATAGAGGTGATTATTGTATACAAAGATTAAGAGAAAATATATTATAAAGTGATGTAGCCCTTTGGGCTCTTTGTGTCATGGATGTAGGCCCTAGTGGCTGAGCCACGTAATATCCTTGTGTTCTCCGTGTTTCATTTATCTCTTTACTTCCGTTTTATGCTTTACAACAATTATAAAACAGCCTCTCTTAGCACGTTATCAATGGTCAGAATCTTTCCAAGAACTATCAATCTACTGTCTAACCAAAAACAGGAAAGAACACTGAAACTCTTCAGTCCACATTGAGGGTAATACTAGGGGAAGAGGAAACCCAAACTTAACGTGGATAGAGTTAGTAAGGAAGGATATCGTAACATGCAGTTTGACTGAGGCCATGGCCGTAGAGCAGAATGAAAACATAGGATTCATGTAGCTAACCCCAAATAATTGGGAAAAGCCTTTGGTGGCGGTGGTTGTTACACCGAAACCCTTCACTGGATCACTTTGTCTTATAGACATCTTGAGCTGCTAAAGAAGCCCTCCAGCGTTCCATTAATAACAATAGAGAAATTCATGATAAAGATATAAAATTAACCACTACCTACTTTCAGCATGAAGTTCCTATCCACTAAGAAATACCCTAATGCACATGATCATATGTTTTTTTCCCATGTCCATCTAATAAACTCTTGAGCTCCAAATCTAAGAACTCACAAATACTGCACCAGGAATCTGACAACACCCACTAGAAGCATTCTTAGGTCCTGAAATAGTAGTCCCCAACACCTACCACAGATGCAAAGCCAGAGCCTTTACCATGATCGGCCAAAAATCCTTCAAGTCCACAGCTCATCTTCTCTGGAACCAAGCTTATAAAATGGGCATTCAAGCTCCATTAATATTGCCCATGAGCTTGGCACAGTAATAGCATCTTGCCCAGGAGCTTATCCCCATTGCAGCTCCTCAAAGCTGCCTCCACCGCCTAAAAAATAGACTCCATTTCTCAACTTTGTCAAACTCAGCCCATCCGGTTTAGTATAATACTAATAAGGTTATGAATATAGGATCTCATATAAGTCCATTGTATTCGAGGTTACACCACTGACTTTAATATTTTTTATGTGATCCAATAGCCTCTAGGAGTTAACAGTCCATTGATTGAAGAATGCCTCAACTTTAGATGTTTGACTTTCCTCTCAACTTTTCTTTTCTCTTTTGACGCCGGAGTCTTCTACTCCGGCGTCTGTCGTTCTCTTTCTTTTTTTTCTTCTCTCTCCTTTCTTGGAGCCGGATCTTTGGTTTTGACAGATCATGCTATGTTCGTATCTCAAAGTAGCGACCCTACCATGTCTCAATCTTCACGGGAAGATCAAAAGTTGTTTAATTGATAGAGATGTGGTCCTTAGGGTCGATCATCAGAGCATGCAGAACGTGAATCCGTATTGAAATCTTGTCTGGTTGGTCGATTCGATTGTGATGTGGGGTGCACTAAAAGGATCGAGGAGTGGGCGACGATATCTTGGCAGATCTCGTGTGGAGTAAAAGTCTCAACCCTACCTGACAACCTGTTCTTGTTCCGTCTACCATCGGAGGCCGAAGCTTGCAGAGTTTTGAATGTGGGGAGGAAGAGATGGGGTGAAGCTTCCTTACACATCAACAAG